TTAAATTAAAAATAATATATTACAGCACCTTAATCAGCAACGTAGACAATAAGAAAGCTCTGCACAGCATGATATTTTAGATTTATTGAAAGATGACATTTATTTTTTGTGGGGAACAACAATAAACTTGTCTATATAGCACCTTTCAAAGAAAAGCCAGATCATAATAGGCAATGCAACACAAATAAAATAACCACAATAAAAAGTAATATGGAAATGAAGACCACAAATAAGCATAAGTTAACAGAAAGGTGGCAAAAGCAATGGGAAGAAGAGAAGACAGGATTCAAAGAACCGGGGGTATGATGAGAAACATGAATAGATACAGAGAGGGGAAACAATAGGGACTGTACATTTTGCAATCAACAGGAAACTTTAGAACATGTTATACTGTCCAAAATATGAAGTTGAGAGAAGGGTACTGATATTGAACCTTAAAGAAATAAAGCTAAGATATGGTAACGTTTATGAAGACGTTCAGGAAACAAAAGTTTCTTTTTTTTTCAATATCTCACAGCGACACAGAGACAATATAACTGTACGTTGTATTTATTTATTTATTTTGGTAATCAGTGAATGTATTTAGGTTCCTGATCCACCCTCCATACCAGTTGTTGGCTATAAAACATCAAAAGAAGAAGACGTCAAACAACAGTGGGATTCGAACATGAGACGTGAAACAGATTAATCTGGCCCCGTGCTTTTGTTTCAACTCTTGAGGCTTTATTACAGTTAAAGGTTCAGTGTGTACAATCTAGTGATATCTAGTGGTGAGGTTGCATGTTGCAGCTGAATACTCCACACCAAACCTGAAAAGTTGTCATAAAAACTCAAAGGCTGTTTAGTTTGTCCAGTTTGGACTACTGAAAAAATAAAAGAGGACCTGCTATAGATGTAAATATAAAGTATTTAAATATAAAGTGCTCATTCTAGGGTAACGAAAACATCAATGTTGGATTGACACACATTAGTAGAAACATCTCTAGGATTATTTTATATTCAGTTTATGCCGGTGGATCCCCTTCACCTAAATCTTACTCCCTGGACCTTTAAGGCTCGGCTGATTATCTTACAGAGACATTATCGTGCACGTGTTATTCATGGTTCCAGTTGAGCCACCATTTTCCCTCCTGCTCCTCCTCCTGCTCCTCCTCCTCCCACCAGGTGAGACCATTTAAACTGATGAAGAACAGGCCTCGAGGCTGCGCGGCACGTTTCTCCCACGCGGGACGTCAGACCGTTGTCTGTCTGCGTAGAAACATTGATCAGTAATATTCATGCAACCATATTTATTTCAACACCACAGTTTTATTCCGAGTGTGTTTTATTGCGCCGTGACGTGCAGCGGAGGTCACAGTGAGTCCGTGCAGCTCAGTCCACACCAGGCCGAGCTGAGACCGAGGAGCCCCCGCTCCGGATCACTGAGCTCCGGAGGTCACAGGAGGGGGAAGGTAGGACCGAGCGGCGACTTAAAGTAGAAATGGAGGGGGGCGTTTTAATATTTATAATTACTGTCATTGACTTTTTTTACGAGGCTCTACTTTGTTTCCCTCTGAGCTTCTGATCAACCTCAAGTCCCGTCAGGATCATTGTTAGTTTGTCAAAATCTCGTGATGATCGTGAACCAAACCCCGTGAATTATTATTATTTTCTAATAAAGTTTGAATTGCACCGTCTATTTTCTTAGGGTTCTATATATAAGGTAGCTGTCACGAGTGTTGCAGATGTAACACGGATCAGAATCGGCTTTACTTTGGCCACGTTTTTGTAAACACGCAAAGAACTTACATTAAACGATTTTCCACTGCTTCCACATGGACGTGTGAAAGAAAGGTACAGAAAAACTTCACTCGTGTTGGATGATGTGGACTGTACTGAATATCAAACGGCATGTGAAAAGACAGTGGGAGAATATGCAGTAATTGGAACACAGTGTCAGTATATCCACACAAATCAACTGCTCCTGTATGTTGTAAACAGTAAGTTCCAATGAAGTAGTGCAATGGGATAAAGTAAAAATGTGGACAGGACATGATATGAACATCATGTGCTATATATGTATATATATTTTCAGCATGCAGGATTAATATTGTCAATGCAGTGAACAGGATATTTATTGACAGTGATGAAGATGATGATCATCTTGTGTGGTTCAGAAACTGTGCATATCCTGTATAAGTATAGTCACTGGCGTGGCTTGTGCTGACATCAATGCCTTGTTGAAGTTATGCTGAGTGATTTATTGCATTAACTGGGTGTAATTGCAGCCCAAAGCACAGTGTTCATAATATTGTGTAAAATAGTGGCAGGAAAATAATATTATTATGATATGGTACTTGCAGTATTCTGTTGATCTCATTTGGCTACAGGAGATTTTGTAGAACTTATTGATTTCTGTGAACAGCAGTGCATTTTTTTTTCATTCTTTCGTAAATCATTGCAAAGTGCAGCTGCCATGAAACCAACACTGTCGTACAGGAAGAAGCACTCTGCAGGTCAGCCTCTTATGAGATATATAAGACCGGTGTGTGTTTCATGTGATGTTTTGTGGTGTGTCAGTGGGGTTTGGTTCAGAGTCCCTTTCAGTGAATCTACAGGACTTTGTCACTGTTTAGTGATTTGGACTTTAAAAGCATTTAAGTGCCATTTTTTTTTTTTTTTTTTTTTTTTCTTGCAGTGTGAAGAGGCAGATGACCATATGTGTTGCTGAAGCCTTTAGATATGCATGTCATGTGAGCTCAGGGAATAGGTGTAAAGGGCCGACTGTAGTGTGCTGGGAAAGGCTTTCTCATTGTTTGTATGTTGGGTCCATACTAACATGTTTAGATCTAAGATTTCCTCGCAGGAAAAATCCTTGTTTGTGTCCTTTGTTCCCCTTAATGCTGCTTCAGCTCAAAATGTTGGTCTTTAGAGTATTGTCGACTAGGCTGCAGCTTAACATAACTAATCTTGCATTGAAACAATGAGCTTTAGCTGTTCTCTGGTAATGAAATGTATCCTAATTGTTGAAATGACGTGTGGTCATTTGCTCGGTACAGATCCTGATCTTTCTATGCCACTGACACTTTTTCTGTTTTCTTCCAGGTGTGTGAACCCATAATGGACAGTATGCTAGAGAATCTCTCAAAAACTGTAAGTGGTCAAGCATGCTCCATCACACGGCACCTCCTCAGTAATTCACCCACCGGGTCAATTTAAACATGGATGTAACTGATTTTGAATCTTGCAGGAGTTTGTCAGCATTTGTGTTCGAGATCCAATGCTCCATAAAGACAACCTATGGCACACGCACGTAGACTACGAGATCTGTTTACATGTAAGTGCCACCTTTAAAGGCGGAGGGGAATGAGGCTTAAAGTTCTTTCTGTATAGTTTTGTCTTTGAGTTTGTGCTTAACATCTGTATTTCTCCCTTGTAGACAAATAGCATGTGCTTTCGAAAGAAGACCTCCTGTGTGAGACGGCGTTACAGTGAATTTGTTTGGCTGCGTCATTGCCTGGAACAAAATGCTCTGACCATGTATGTTCATACCCGCACATGTTAATTCAACCAGTTCAGTTAATTAGTCCCACCATAAAATGTACTTTTCATAATGTTCCATTTGTAATATTGTTTTAAAGAGATGTTGATTCAACACTATATGTCAATAGGTTTTTAAACTCTATTGCCTTTAAAAAAATATGTTGTTTAGTCTACCACCAATTCCAACACAATTTTATAAACAGCCTCTAAACAATCAAGTTGAACGATCAATTTGAATCAGCACCTCAATAAAACACAAACTGAACTTTATAAACATAATTGTTAGATATCTTGCAGGACTGTTTTATTAGACTGCATTAGTTTTTGCCATTTGTAGCTAAACAAACATGCAACTGCGTGAGTTGACATTGATGCGATTTCCATCGTATATAACTTTAATTAAGCATGCAAAGTGGATTTTCTTTGATTTTTCTCTCATATTCTTGTCCAGAGAAGTACCAAAGTTGCCACCGTGGAATCCTTTCTTCAGTCTGAAGAACACAGAACAGGTGTCACAGAGAATGAATGGCCTACAAGAGTTTTTGGAAAAGTGAGTAACTCACCCTGTAGTTATGAGGTTATGTTTTCATCTGCGTTTGTTTGTCTGTTAGTTAACAGTCTTACACAAAAACTACTGGACTCTTCAACAGTCTTTTGTTTTAGTTTCCTGTTTGGCATTGTCTCATATCCTTTCTTCTCTAGCGTTCTTCACACACCATTATTGTTATCAGACAGTCGGCTCCATCTGTTCCTCCAGTCGGACCTCCGCATCACAAAGATCGAAAGGTGTGCCCTCGGTAAGACTAGGTACACAGTGGCTGAAGCCATACAGTGTTCCAACAGGCATTACATCGGTAGATTAGAGGTCAAGGGCTCCTGTGACTCTGACTGCGAAAGGTATTAACTTTGACTGCAATACCTGCATTAAAATTCAGCTCCCGGTCTCAAACTCTGAATTGACCCTTTCACCCCTCTTTTCTCTCACTGCAGCACTTCGTCGTCAGGTTTGGGACGAAGTGTGGACACTACATCGGGACATAGCCTAGTCCCCTTCCTCGGGTCCTGACCGACCCAGAGCTTTTTATGACTGAATCCACGTGGTGGGCATTCTGAAAAACAGCTGATACACTGCCAGTCGTACTTCCACAATCAATGTACAAACCTGTTTGTGACTCTGTTGATTTATTGATTCCCCTTATACGATTGTTTTAATCATTTGGTTTATTTTTCTCTTAAAACAGTACATTGTTCATTATATTCATTATATAATTGTACATTTGAATTTGTTAATGTGTATTTGAAAAAAATATTCATGTTTTTAAAGAAAGTATTGTATATTTGTTACGGTGACTTCTTAAATATTTCCTATGTATATATTTTTATCAGCACTGAAGCTTTACTGTAGCGAGCAAAGGATGTTTTGAATTGCAGACAGGTTTTTTTAGTAAAATATTTGAGAACTTTTATGATTTGTTATTGGATAAATAAACTTTTTGAGGAAAAACAGAACTGTGTCTTACGCCATTATTCGCTAGTACATATCCTTTCTTCAGCTGTAGTGAAATTTCTACATATAGTGGGATTATTATAGGATTATTTTATTTTAACCTGAGACATGCAGCTTGATGAGTCAGCGCAGCCACGCACTGCTTCAACAGCCCAGTAGAGGGAGTGAGGATATCACAGGACCTTAAACTGCTGAATGTACAGCAGTGGGATGTTGGTCCATGTTGACAAAGATGAGTCTCTTATTTTTTGCACTGTGGGGCTTGTGCACGTTATTAATGTACTTCATTTTAAAAGATTGATCTGTATTACACATCTTAAAAATTGCAATTCTATTTGTACTGAGTCTGTCTGCAATGCACTGCAAGTGCATTTTTAGACTCTGGCTGGGTGAAAATGTAAAATATCAGATGTTGCCGGTTATGGTTTTAACAGTCATGATGCACTCTTGTGTATTATGTTATCACAAGTTCACAAAACTATCCAACTGCCTCTTGTACGACAGGAAAACACAGGCCTGTTCAACCTTTACCTCAAGTGGCTACTTTATTAGGTAAAGCTCAACTGTAAATCTGACTTATGAAGATGATAATCAGTACTGATACAAAAGGGAAATAAATCATGGTTGCACTGTATGAAAAACTTAAAAAGCCTTTATTAATGGCTATTTCATTGCAAGGATGAAAATTATAAAAACACTGGCTGTCATTGGGGTGAAAATCCTGGCTCATAAACATAATAGGCCGTTCAGGTGACTCATTGGAGGAAAATAACCTTCAAAGATTTAGATCTACCATGTTAGCCATTGGGTATTTATGATTAAAAGTCCTCGACAGCTCAACTGTGAATTTGACCTTTATAGAGATAATATTGTTCAGTTCTGACACTGTCAGTCTAAGTTTGTTATTTCAGTTGTAACTTCCAGTGGTGCTGAACTGGACTTTTAAATTGATAAGATGAGGCTGTAAGATCATCGTTACATACATCAACTGGTGGTTGGCATACAAGGGATGTTCTCCAACTTGACCTGTGTTCTAAAATGTACAGATGAAACCGTCTAACACAACAGACTACAAACTCTATAACTTTTATGAAGGTTATTATGTTCTCCTCCTTATTCCAAAAGCTGGACTCTCTCTTGCTGCTGTGGACAGTTGTTAATGTCCCATATCTAGTAGATATAGGCGTGTTCAGCACTTTGATATTGACAAGAAGTCGTCCAGCACTGGTCACATTTCAGCCCTGTCATAGCTTTCCCAGGTGAGACAGACTAATTAAAGAAAGACAGCAAATTAATTTAACTATTACAGACTGCTCCTGGGAATCAGCTGAGAGAAACCAGACAGCATCAAACTGCAGTGTGTGGGTGTGTGGTGGGAGGGGGCAGTGCACGAGTGCCGGACAGGCCTGTAAATCGAAAGCTGATGAAAGAAGCAAAGACTCATTAAAGGAGACAGAAGCTGCCCCTCCACCCTAAACCACTGGAGTGACGTGGGCCGGCCCAGCAGTAAACCTGGCCCGTCCCACGTCTGTCTGTCCTCTTCTCTCCGTCCCCTGGATGGTGCTGTCTCTCTGTGCCGCACGAGCAATAATGAAGCTGTCAGTGACTTCACAGCTCAGCCGCCCAGCTTCACATGGCAAACATACACTCTAGATACATAGGTAGCCACACACAGTGTATGAAAACACACTGACAGCTGTGACAACACACACACACACACACACACACACACACACACACACACACAGTACATACCCTGGTGGCAAAGCTGTAGATGAATGACCAATTTCTCTTTTCCTCATCCTCTGTCATTTTCCGAGTCCCACTGGTTTGTGGTTGCCGCTCTCCATCTCTGTTTTGCTGTTAAGGTTGACCTTATCACCGCGTCCCTCTGACAGGCGAACAGCACGACACAAACACACACACATGCATTATTTGGTTGGGAGCCAGACAATTTTACTGACAAAATGAAATGCTGTGGCAGACACACACATCTGCCTTTTGTTTTTTGCAGGGGGGAGATCGTTTCACATTTGGATATTGAGTATTCACAGTACATGTCTATTTCAGCTCGGTAATTTATAACTCAATTTCCAGTGTGCATCGATGCGCTTCATACCTCCAAAACACCAAACAAAGCCCAAACCCAATTGTATTTCAAAGCAATTAGGGTGTCCAGTGAGTTGTGAACGGGCCACGTTGCGGTGGCTCTAGGCCCGTGTGATATTTTTAATTGTTAATTTTCTGTCACGTTAGTCAACTCCGGCACTTTCGGACAGGTGACGGAACTCCCACAGGCGACACATAAAACGGGCCGAGAACATATTCTCTGCTTTTTGATGCAGCACAGTGGACGGCCTTTTTTATGCGTGAGGGGGAAAGGTTTCCGCCGTATGCGATGAGCTAAATGACGAGATCTTATATCATATTTACAACTGTTTTACGGCCGGGACTTTTTCTAATGCTTTTCGATAGATGTGGCGGCCATCAATATTAGCATTAGTTTATGGGTCTAAATTATTAGCTCATTTAGAGTTTCACCTGAAGCCACTGCAGGGAATGACTTCACCTCCTTCACCCTGCAAAGCCAACAATAGCAAAATCCATATGAGCAATTAGCCTGTGTAGCTCCCACCCTGCCTACGTGCTTATTTTGTGTCTTCCCATCACTCTTCCTCTTTACACTCTTTCAATTTTCTGTTTCTTTTCTTTCTCTCTCTCTCTCTCTGTTGGTTGCTACATTAATTAGCTGTTGTCTTTTTGTAGTAGGGTGTTTATTCTTGCTGACACTGCACCCACTGGATCTCAGCTGTAGTAGCTGTTGAGGAAGGAGGCCTGGACTGACCTCAGTGCCGGCTCCCCTTCCTTGCACCAGGCGAGGCGGTGGTGGTGGTGGGGGGGTCAAAGGTTATGACTTGCATTGTATTTGTGATTATTGCCTCTAAAGTGCTACTGCACAGTGCATCATTAAAAGTCAATGCATCTTACTCTCCCTACGCCACCCCACCTTTGCACACCTAAAACACACACACACACACACACACACACACACACACACACACACACACACACACACAGACACACACACAGTCATTTTGCACGCACTTTGCACATCACCAGCCATTTAACAGCTAAAATACGACCCGTGCGTAGATAAATGTCATGGGGCCATCTATCTACGAGTGTTAAAAGTTGGCTAATGGAGATGACATATTAGCAGCCCAAATGACTGCCATAAAAACTCCCACCATACCTTGCAGCGCCGCCCGGCCACTGTGACTGCAACAGGATACGGCACTGGCACTGCAACTATCCATCTGCAGAAAGACTCGGAGGGGAAAGGAGGGGTGATGTCATGCAGGATGGAGATCTTTTGATTCAATAAATTCTCTGGGGTTCAGTTCTGTGAAGAAACGATCAGGGGGATAACGACTGAGAGTTAAATGTAGCATATTTACTGAGGGCTGCACAGCGTAATTCTATATCTCACACACTCTATATAACACTGTAATGATAATGACCTTTCACCTTTGACCTTTCGCAGAACACTTGGTTCGAAATTATGAGCCAGGTCGGCCTCGTGTCGATGTTTGTGCACGTCAATATAGCAGAGCTGCCTATACAATCAATATCCTGCTCCTATCCATACGTGAAGATCCTCCACAGGTATGTGCTCACCTCCTCTCCTCCTCCTCCTTCATCACTCCTATCTCTTTATTAATTACCCGTCTCTATCCATGCGTGTCTTTCCCTCTCTGAGTGAATGGAGCAGTTGTAATTGCTTCTCTCTGGAGCAGTTAGAAGCAGCACAAAGGAACGGTATAGGAACCACATTTGCATTCAAGATGAGCCGAGATGGAGGGGAGGGAGGGAGCAGTGCCCTCCTGCCCTACACTGAGCAGCTCCACTTACACTCTTTCTCTCTCCCTCGTTCTCTCCTTCCCTCCCTTCGTCTCTCATCCATTGTCTCCCCTCTCTCCATCCTTCCCCCCCCCCCCTATTTCTACTCCCACCACCTCCTCCCTCTCGCAGCGTGCCTCCCCTTGCATTGTCTTTCCAGAGAGTTCCAAGGTCGACGGGAGCTTGCTCATCAGAGCAGGGTATTGTGCACTTAGTCCTGGTATGAACGAGCTAATTTGTGTGAGGGAGTGTGTGCACTATCCAGAGTGTGTGTGTGTTTGTGCATGTCCTGAGGCTTGCATATGTGAGCGTAAATGTGTAGAAATATGTGGGTGTACATGGTGCATGTGTGTGTGTGTCTGTGTGTGAGGCAGTATTTCTAATGGCTGGTAAAAAGGGGTGAAGGAGGGGAGACTGTAATTAATAACTCAAAACCTCAGAATTGCAATTTTTTATAACCACCAATATCTCACCACCTCGCCGACCTATGCCATCATTCTCACTCACTCCCGTGGAGCACACACACACACACACACACACACACACACACACACACACCCACACCCACACCCACACAACTCCTCAGGGCTCGTCTTTTCCAGCTTGATAAGCATTTCTAGTTTGTTTCAGCGTTTTGATCAATACAGTTAAAACACCAAACCAAGCATAATTAGGTCTGAGATGGCTCCCGCTGCGACCGAATAGGCCTCACCTAGGGAGGCGCTCGCCGTTATCATCATCACCCTGTGTGTGTGTGTGTGTTCCAACCCCACACAGCGTGATCTAATAGAATTGACAAAGTGCACATCAGGACGTAGATTAAAGGAGAACCCTCAGCTATAGGTTGATTTGAGCAGGTGATGGAGTTACCCGTTCGCCTCACTCTCACTCAGCTCCATCTTCATTCCCATAATCATTTAGACAACCTTTACAATGCATCTCTGCCAGCAGGTTCATTTCAATATGTTACAGGGCCACCTCAATCATTTTTTATTGGTTTATTTACTCAGAACGATACATAGATGGAGACGGGAGAGATCATAAATTGTCCACAATTACCATTATACACAGTGAAGTGACTCTCCTTTGTGCCATCA